GAGTTAGAGTCAAATCATGTGACGCGTACCATTAAAATTAAACAACAAAGCCTGCCTGGTAGACGAGCATTTTATAACAAGAGCTAAACTGACTATTACAGAGTTGACGCTATTGCTCACTATAGTTACGATTGGGTACAAAACGTCCACGCAAAGTGCATTTCAAGATGAAGTAGTACGCTCCATAATTGACAAAAGTTCTAATGATACACCGAGCATGGTATTCGATGGGTGAAAAAGTCCAAGATTATGATAACGGCGGAATAAAAATCGTACTATCGTTTGCTTTTACTTTTACCTATATCCGGGAATTGATTGCAAGTCAAAAGACATTTACAGGAAAAATGGCGTTGGGCGACAAAAAATTGGGATTTTTGAACCTTCAGCGTTGGGAAATCAGACAGCAACTGCAATTAGGAAAGCACGTTAACTGGCATTCATCACTGTCTCTAATGTCTTCTCCGTTAACAATCCTTGATGAAATTCCAGCTAATAATAGCGGAGACTGCCAAACGCAGCAGAATTGCTCTGATGAACAGACAAGTGGTAGCGACTCTGTAACCCGTACCATAGATAACTGTAACATTGACGCGCCGTCATGGAGCTAACCTTACAATAACCCACGTATTCTTCTCAGAATCTCTCTTGTATACTATTCTATCGTGTAATCTGTTTTCCTGTCTTGACCAAAATTCTATTTCGTTTGGGATAACTCTGTACCCTCCCCAGAATGGAGGTGACGGAACATTGCCGTCGGGATAGGCGGCTTTCAATGACTCTACACGCTCGTGGAGGCTGCTTAGAGAAGGAATTACTTGGCTTTGTGGCGAAGCCCATGTACTCAATTTACTTTGTAATGGCCTAGACTGATGCGACGAATTGTGCATAGAAGCGAAAAGTGGAGGGAAAAGCGTCAAACTTAGCATACATAAATATGATTGGTATTCATATCGGCTACCTTTGTTTCCGTATCAACACTTGTCGATATGCCAAGCCTTGTTGCTTTATTACCTTAAAATATGCCTCAGAGTCTTCCGTGCTTACCCTTTCCACATTCCCGCCAATCCTCACTTGTCTCCCTAGCGAACCCCAATAAAATGTAATGGCTGCTCTAGGATTTGACTCTAACTCTCTGCCCTTTCTAGAGTCGTGATTCGTATAAAAAACAAATCCCTGTTCGTCATAATGTCGCAGCACCACCACTCGAGCAGAGGGAATGCCGTCTGTAGTGGCAGTTGCTAATATCATGGCATACGCATTCTCTTGATACGCTACCTGTGCGTCTTTGAACCAAGATTGAAAAAATTCAATGGGATTTGGGTTTGCTTGTTCCGAGAGCACAGTTTGATTTAGCGAGGACATGAATGTATTGATGAAAGATTTCCTGTATGAGTGATGTGTGCGACGAGTAATCAACCATGGGAATATTCAGTTTGGTGATCGTGGTGCCACATGGTCGTATTCGAGTTAGAACGGAAGAGTACTCGAGCAAATAGTTTTTGCAATCATATTTATTTCCGCGCGGTTACAAAATTTAAATTAGTGTTTTTTAAAAATTAATACCCTTTATTTCGCGCTTGCTTCGCGACTAGATAAATATGACTACGTCAGCCCAACATTTAATGTGTATAAAACTCAAAATTAAAATTGACTGTACTTGATGGATGCTGGCTCAACATCTACCGCAAGCTTTGTCTATACTTTCTAGCAATATAGCGCGCAAACACATACATACGCTATAAAGTCGTGTGTATAAGCATAAAATTTTACGATTTATTTTTCGAGCATTGTAATTATCATCGCAATAGTGTTAAGAGCTTTTTATTAAATTTATTTTATCCAAGGCGCATCTGAAATATTCTTTTGCAATAAACAATAATGTATGTATGTATGTATCAAAGGCCATAAAATAGCCTTTTATCTATTGGTTTTCTTTCTATAAGCAAAAAATACCTACAAATTAATATGAATCAGGATGCAATAAGCTCAGAGGTATGTATGACCACTTGTTATCTTCAAGTACTTAATACATCAAGTATAAGATTAAATTCCAACTTCCATCCACATCTAAGAACAATATATTTATTCCAATCTATTTCATAGTAGATCATACTGTTATCCGCCTCCCAATAAATAAGATACGGCGCTCGATTCGGTCTGAGACTTTGTGGCGTTGCATGAGTCGAAGTTGTCTCAGAGTTTGGATTTCGTCGGAAAGGGTTGACGGCTTTGCGGACGGCAATTCCGACATATTCGATACCACTCACACATTGTTGAACAAAGGCAATTTTAGACAAAGCGTTTTCACGATCTTGGTTATTATAGAAAACCTGCAGGAATTGAGATCATACTGTTTACTATTAATAGTCTTTATATTCCCTCCCCCACCTTTTCCCCCCCCAGACATAACTTGCCTCGATCCAAACGTCAGGCGGTGGACATTTATTAACGATGGGTTCTGCTTGTTGTCCAAACGTGGGTCTTTGAAGCCAGATTCCAACGTCTGGTCGAAACTCATCGCGTCCAACTACGCATATTGTATTCATAAGTGCAGTCCAATCTTGATTATGTATTGTGGCAGAAACAATCAGCTTGACATGGATCCGTTGTTTATGCATTCCATCGTACTAGGAGAAAAATAAAAAAGTCTCGAAAATTAAAAAATAATATGCGGATGTAGGTAGTCAAATTAATATGAGCAAAGATCTTGCTTACTTTGATATATATATCGTTCCCGATTCTTTCAGCGACATATTTTTCATGTATGGCTTCTCGTACGCGTGGATCAACTTCATTCAGATCTAACTTATCAATAGGAAGGCTGATCTTGACAACGTCTTGCATTTGCTCTTTTTTTACTAATTCGTCTATTTCTGTAGAGATCTATCGTGCTTGTTGGTTATTATTACATTTTTTTGCACACTTAGCAGTCTTAAAATTTACTTAATACCAAATTAATTTGGGAGGTTCGCCTGGTCTCCCGAGACGCTCGAGCGGACTTTTCTGAATTTTTGGTCTTATCCTTCATGTTGAAAGTTTGAGAGGAAGAGAAGCGCAGTTTTGTATGCTTTAACCAACGTATGAGTAAATTTCCCGTGACTTTTTTTAAGAACAAAGTCTGATCTGTTTGGCGCAGCAAACAGTTATCAATGTGGCTTACTATTGATCCCGAATCTTACTACCAAATTCGCCGAGCATATTGTTTATAAAGTATGCTAACTTTGATGCGCAGTTCACATAAACACATGTTGTAATGAAGAGAGTTGTTAAAAGTTTTAATAAAAAGCGTGGCTTTGATATATTATTAACACGGTTCACTGGTTCATTGTATGCATGCACTAATGTTCATTTCACCCCTTAAATTAACGTACAGTTCTTTAACACTATATTTTCAGGAATTTCCTGAGACCATCACTTTTTTAGGCCAACAGTCGATTTAACGATATCGGAAAAGCGATAGTTATGACCTGACTGCACAATTGCACATCTAAAGTCGCCAACGTTTTCTGTGATAAATTCATCAAACAGAAAAAGACCCGCGTCTAATAGATTGTTAATACGCATCACCATTAAATATCAAGGGCTTATAGAATATTCGAGAACTTTGTAATCATTACATATCATATTCGTTAATAAATTCTTTGGTTTAACTTGAATAAGTTCACTAAATAGAGACCACCATAGAGAATTTCATGCGTGTAAATATATACTGAATATTGTAACTAACTTTGGCCTTACCAGACTGCATGGCTTTTGGTGTGTGAACCGTGTTAGTCGTTTTTGGAAAGAAAATTAGCAACTTCCAACTTAAGCTAGCCACGTGAATTCGAGTGCCTTAAATTATCCATCTATTTTTTGCCATATATTGGAAACTGATAAATAACCCCGAGAATTGAGTTCTGCTTAAAGTAGGTTTGATTAACGTATTTTAAAAAATTTTTATAATGTGGCGATTTTAAATATTAACATTAATATTTAATATTAATGTTAATATTTTTATGGTTACGCTTGCATATTGCATACAGTATAGTTACACTGTCAAGGCGTGAGAATTATTGGACAAACGACCTTCCATTGGAGATAGGTACGTAAATAGGAAATTTACATAACAACACTAAACTTAGAACAGTCACACTAGCAGATCATTGTAGGGAATGACCCATCTGAGCAAGTATACCGTTGGCCCATCAATGTACAGAATTGAGGGTGAATACGAAACGGCAGATGTAACAATCGCTAACAATATTGAAGAAGGTACTCATAAGGGAAATGTTTCGTTTTTAGGAACAAATGAATGATATATCCCATTGATGCATACATCTTCATCTGTTGACTAGAGAATGTTAAAGATCGAATTCTTCCCTATTAGCACGGAATAAATGTAAGCACGGTACGATGAAAGAGAGAGGGAGGGGGAGGGAGGGACGCGATTGCTCACTAAAATTTGCATGTGGACTTACTTGTACAAGATATGAACAAAAAGGATACGGAGAATGAAGCATTCATTCGTTCACGTAAAATGGAATCTCGAAATCGAGGTCGGTACTCACTTTATAATCTACTCAAGTAGTCCGTAGTCAGTATGTCGTTAGCGGAGAACAAGTATTGAAACGTTTCATCACACGATTGATGATGTTATCGAAGCAGGATTGTTTGTTGCAGTGCACTGATCTAAAGACACGAGTGTTCACTTAACTGGGAATGTAACTTTTCAATGACCTTCACTTCGCCAACCTCGCATATTTCCCGTATCATAATATACAACTCTGCTTGTTAGGCGCTCAGTGACATGAGAATTTGACGGTCGATTGCATTCTTGGCGCCAACGGTTCCATGATGACTGTTTAAACATGCACTCTCTTATAATCATCTAGATCACATCGATCTGTTTCGCATGATATGCAAGTTGCACGTAGGTACGAGTTATGAATGTAAGAGAAATTCTCCACCCACTGCCATGCTCTGAGGCGAATTTTGGTGTTACCTGTATTTCAAAGAGTGAAAAAAAAAATTGATGCACGATGCTATATTAATTAATATGTAGCGATGAATGGATACGTTACACAAAATGTCAAAAGGTGACTCAAGGAGAATACTACTACGAAAAAGAAGAAGTGGGGGGAAAAGAAAAAAAAAAGAGAGAGAAAAAAAAAAGCCGATTGAAATGGCGGGAAGGACATCGTTTTACTCTGTATAGATTATCTGTACGCCCTTCAAACCAGAATAGTCCATGAACAACAAAACATGCATATGATGATGATTGCTTTTTTCTTTTTCTTTTTTTTTTTTTTTCTGTATGTATAATACGTCGTAGACTTTGTGAAAGTCACGCAAGAAAGCGTACGGGGGACAAGTACAACTGGATATGTGCAGGAATGCCATAAACATGTGCATGCTATGTAAGTGGGAGAAAGACTGTTTAGTGCAGCAGCAGTCAAATAAGCGATATGCAATGTAAGCCAGTCTCTGATTAAGCCAGAATGGGAGGGGAAAGAAAAGATAGACAATGTAAAAACGAGTATAGTAATAGGGCAATTGCTTACTCC